GATTTATTCGTTAATACTGCTAAACCTGCCTTCTGAAGAAGTGCTCGATCGCTAGTATCATTTTAGCTCTTCTGTAATTGGCGACTAATCACGTGGTTTCGAGCCTTCTTTATCCAAGTACAGCTTTCCCGACTCCTTATATAATACTCCCACTATCGCAGTGGGAAACCAATCGGTTAATCCCCTCGCTAGGCCACCAATCACTTTTCATCAAAGACCAACTCCCATTTCCCGTCGGGGAGCTGAGCTATGTTCCCGGCCCCACCGTTTCTTCTTCGTGCTTCCGACGATGACATGCTTCACTCCTGTTGCTGTCTGATTATGTTCTTGGAAATGTGGTCGTTCGTGAAATTCCTGAAATTCTTTTTTCCATGGCCCTCTCAGTGTCAGGTAGCTAGCACTCTTCGGCTTAAGTCAGTGACCACGTCTCACAGCCACACAACATTGCCGGGGGACGGTAGAATCGAAGAGGCGCGCGTTTCTTTCCTGATGATACCTAAAAGAACGTGCTTAATGGAATGGAACGCGCTCCAAACGGCATTTCTTCTCCAGCCTGAGCATACTGCACGTTGATCTCTTGGTACAGGTTAATACAGTTATCAATTTTTTGGAATTCTTCACCGTCTAATATTATCCGGGCTTCTGATGGGGCATCTTGTGGCGATATCTTCGCTTTATTCTATTTTATTAATTCTAAATCCGCCTTCTACATTTTGTTTTCTGCCGAATTCTTCTGCATGTCTTGCATTTGTCACCATTCATGTTAATTCAGCCTTTTCTGTTAAAACACGACAGCTGTCCACAACAAAGACCTCATCTCCAATCCGACCACAGAATTCCCTGGCATGGACTTGAATCGCTTAGAATGGTCGAGATTAAACAGCATTAGAACCAGGACAAGGACGCTGTAGACTCAATCCACTCAATCGCTGGAAGATGAAATCCAACCCGCAGTGTGACTGCGGTCATGAAGATCAGACAATACAGCGCATCATTTCCGAATGTCCGCTGTGAAAGTTGGACAGCAGCATAACTGATGTCCAGAATGCTACAGCGGCGGCCATTCACTGGTTTAGAAATCTTGACATCGATTTACGTTGCTAGCCATACGACCGACGATGCCGTGTCGGTTCTATCTCTCTTCATCCTCCTCTGTTTCTCTGAAAAACTCTTTGTCTCTTTTGAGGTCCTTCCTCTCGCTCTCTTTGGTGTCACCACCTCGGCTGACTTTGCGTAGCGCCTCACTGTCTCTGCTGACATCTCATAGTCAGTCTTCCCTGGAAATGCGCGCTTGGAGCGCTGCCTTGTTGAATGCCATCTGCACAGCCTTTCTCTCCATCTTCTCGAAGGTCATCTTGGCTCGCACCAGCCTGTGTTCATTGCCGGTGTCAAATGATGACATAACGGCTATGACTCAGACGATGTGACATAGAAGAGACGTAACAGTAATGTCATCATTTGACATACCTCTTTTATCGTAGATTACGAAGTTGATCTCGTTGTTCCTCGCTGTTGTGGTCACGATTCACGTCCATTTCTTGTTTATGTCCTCTTCTAGAAGCAGGTGGTGCCGACGTACAGGTGTTAAGTTTCTGCCATAGTCGCTAGCTGATCTCCTCACTCATTTCGCTTTCCGGTGTCGTACCTACCGACGAACTTTTCACAGCCCCTACTTCTGCTGACCGTGGCTTTGAAGTCTTTCATGACGAGAGTAGAGGTGAACTTTGGAACCACTGCCTATTTCATTTCTTGACAGAAGTCTTCCACTTGATTCTCGTTAACTGCACCTATGGGTGCAAAGGTTTGGACAATCCTCATGGTGCTCTTCTTGTTCTGTTGGAGTCAGAGCCCACCTAATCTTAATGACTTCCTATGCAAACGGATGATTTTGGAGGACTAGCATTTGCTGACTACAAATCTGATTCCTCGTACGTTTTTCGTACCATTTCCAGTTCCGAACTGTTTCTTTCACGATAGCATTCTTTATCAATTCCAGATGACTGTATGAACAGTTCATGACTTCATGGTATTTTAGTACCTGCAATGCATAGCGGAACACCTCCTCACTGAGCAGGGCTGAACTAAAACCTGTTGGAGCCGCTGCCAAAATGCTAAGCTTATTTATCTATAAAGTGCGCATATTATAGGTTTATTATCATATTGCTAGCTTTCGATGCCTTCGGTAAGACGACGCTTTCCCCTTAGTTCCTCTGGTTCCTCTCTCATGTCTAGACGATGCCAAAGGTGTTACAGGCCATCCCCGTCGCTCACTGCGTTAAGTAGTTTGCATCCACAACTGCAGAACACCGACGATGGAATTCGGGATTTGTTCATGAGATGGCGGGAATTTTGCGGTGGAATGGATCGAAAGACACTCAGGGCGCTGAGGCCGATTTATTCATGTTGTCATAGCCCATGAGGTTTTGCCCTCCGTTAGCAGGGCTGACAATGGCTGGGGAATTTCGTACAGACTGGTTTCTGAATTGCGCCCGGAGGCTTCGTTTTTTTATCCAAGTAGTTTTTTCTAGCTTTGAACGAACTGACTTATAACCAAAATGTAGCCAATGACATTGATGGCCCACTTTCTTCAAAGAGGCTTCAGGATCAAACTAGTCGAACTCGAATCCAGCCACATCTTAGTAGTTTCACATCTGCCTGGCCTCGAGTGCTTATTCGTCGCAAGTATGCTCCATATCGGGATGGGTCAGATGACCCGCAGTTGGGCACAGCGGTCATCACATAAACCGATATATCAAGAAATTATCTGATATGTGAAAATAAGCAAATACAGTATGTAAATTCATCTTCAATTTATCTTCAATCTTTAAATTTTTATTTGTCGTGTGTAATGTTGGTTGGATGATCATTGCAGGCCTTAGTTTAATCAACAGCCTAACACTCTTTGAAAATTATATAAGTACCCAACATCTGACAAGTTGAGTACGAGTTGTCATGCTCTGTTTAGAAGGTAGACAGAATAACGTTTCACTCTGTGCCACCAACTATGTTGTGATACTCTCTTAGCTGTATATGTTTAGTTGTGTCTTTTGTTGCTCTGTTCAGCCCTTGAAAGCAGAATACTTCCATGTATTAAAACAGTCTGATTGGTGGAGAGTTATGTCTAGCAGTGCAAAGGTGGGAAAGGTATGAATGTTGGCGCATGAGAAGCATTTCCACCCGGTCATCATTATGTCCTCGTAATCGACGAGGGATCGTTGCGCTAATTACAAGCGTGTCATCGGGCCGCAGCTTGACGAGTCGTGGGCCGACCCTGGTGCACTGGTTTGAGTTCATATTTTTTCTGGTTGGTTGTTCTTCTCTACTCTGTCTCTTCAGAACAAGAGAGACGACGTAGGGCTCAGTAACGTGCCCACGTTGCTCCAATGTCAGCAGATGTCTGCTTGCATACCAGATGTCGCCGTTTGCCTTGCACGGTGGAGAGGTCATTTCCCCACCGGCAGTCGCAGCTCCGTGGTTATGAACGCCAGTCAGGCTTTTATAACAATGTACCAGGCATCGTCGACTGACGGTTCGGAATTCTCTGTAGGCCCTCAAGCTACCGTAGCTACCACAGATTATTTACAGGGGAACAAGCCCCACCGTTCTGCACCGTGCCGAGAAATCCCTTTTCTATGATTGGTCACCGCCACACCCTGCAACAAGGGCGAGTGAATGGTTTTTAGGGAGCCTTTCCATCCAAAAACCCATTTTAAAATACAGTATTTTAAATTGTCACATTAGAGTTTGTGACTGTTATAAAATTTGTCGATCACATCAAACAAATCCTCCGAACAACAATCTGTATTTGAATATACTGCTGCAGATGTAAACTCGCGTCAGTGATACCTTGCAACATAAACTGCGACATTAGAGATGGTATGACAGGTTCATAAAATGATGCTATATTAGAAAACGTTCATCCGAGTCTGATCATTGGTCGCCCTTTCTTGGTGATTCCACTTTTCCAGTACTCGTCGATGGATGACTCCGGCTGATAAATCTTGTAGAACGCATTCAGACAGGTAATCATAGCGTTGATCACCACGTCTGTGTGGTCATCGGTCTGTAGTTCCTTGAGTTCAAGCTGCCAGTTGCAGTTTATGCACAGATCCCTCAGTGCCGACGGGCTGATCAATTTCTTGAGGGCTGTAATGCGGTTTAGGTGGCACTCGTCCTCCTGCTGGTAGATGTCAGCATACGGGGTCGCTGAGCACATTGCCGTCAGACCAAGCAGCAGCATCAGGACACAACGAGCCGCGACGATCGCGTGCAACATTATTCTGCTCTATTGCAATGCGCCCACAAACGGGTGAAGCCATCTTTATAGCCTTGAGAAAAAACTTTCTTTTAATTAATATCTGAGAATTGCATGATTAAATATCAATTATTAAACAACGCGACACGAAGTTCAGTAGTTGATTAATTTCAGAACCTCGTGTTTAGCTCCTCTTTAGCTTCATTCAGAACTTCAGTAACAGGACAGATTCA